GCAGTGCTCGCCGTTCCAGCCCTGGCTGCATTCGCACTTGCCGTCCTTGCAAGTACCATGCTCGGCGCAGCGCGGGTGGCAGGCCCTCTGACTGCAGGCGGCGCCGGTCCAGCCCTCTTCACAGCGACACGTGCCCCCCATGCACACTCCGTGCGAGCCGCAGTCCACCGAACAGATTTCTGCATTGAACAGAGGAAGCAGAGCACGAAGGGCAGGGCAGAGGGGGCGGGGTGGGGGGGGCGAGGGGAGTGAGAAGGGGCGTGAATCAGAAGGACTGCATCTTCAACTCAACAGAACCGTTTTGAAAAATAAATAAAAAGTATTTATAGACTCAGTACATGTTAGCATCGACTCGTAAGAATTATACATGGTCAAAGTTTACTTTGTCAGTCATTTAATTTCAAATGCCGCTGTGATTGTGCATGAAATACACAAGAGAATTTTGTTGTAATTCCCTCTGTTTACACACACACACACACACACACACACACACACAGACGACTAACAAAACAACACATGATTCATAAGGAGAGGAAAATACACATGTAATTTATCTGAGAATATCTTTTGGCAGCCCAGGACACATGCACACATACAAACACACACATCAAGTTCATATAAAATTAATAAAATATTTCAGTGTCTAAGCATGTCTGGTATTTAACAGGAGTTGGGTTTCACCCTTATAGCAAGAATTGCAAAGGGGTTATATCTACTCCTAATGTTTAAATTTCTAAACTACTCAGAAACTTTTAATTAAAAAGAATCTTTTGTAGTACCCACTTCGGCTTGCTTCTGACGCACACACATGCTGGTTAAATAAAAGAAATCGTTGTTTTTCCTATTCAGTAAATTCGTACTGTGGACAGATACACACCACAGTAGAAAACCAGTTTAAAAATATAAGTAACTACTGACTTTGTCATTGGAAAAAGTAGGTTTTTCAAATACTCGAATGGACTAAAAGCACAAGTGACCAAAGGACTTCAAAACCCTAACAATAGGTTCGATCTTTAAAAAGAGTTCCGAAGGTATTTTATATTTTACTTTTTACATATAAAGTTAAATAAAATCAACTGCCTCTTTTTTCTACAATTGTAAGACCATTGCTTGGTTTCGGGTTCCTTGCAAAAAATAAAAACGCTGAACGATAAAAACCTGAAAGCGTTTCTAACAAACAGAAAATGGACTGCAGCCTTGTTTTTACATGAAAAAACAGTAACTGTTTATGCAGTCACATGCTCCTGTTTTCCCTACTCACTGCCCAAGTAACATTTCTCAGACACCTTCATTCTGCCGCTCAGTCCTGCAGAATTTTAAACCCGGAATCAAGGCACTGTGAGAGTTGTAACATTTCTTATAAACAACAGCCAGGACTATTAACTGGAAGAGAGTGGTATATGCTTTTTCATGCCACATTTTCCATCTCGTTTGAATTAAATTTTTGATTAAGAGATCCAAGATGGTGATTAACTTCAGACGAACAGAACGTCAACTCAGCTCCAGAAGAGAGAGGTTTCTTTCTGAGGTACCCCTTTTATTCAATCTAATCAATTTTTCATTAGGGTGAAGGTGTTTATCAGCGTTTAGCACACTAGCTTTGAGCAAGGTGCGTCAATCTTTGTAATGAACTTATTAATTAGAGTTAATTTAATTGAAGTGGAATTGAAGGGCTAATTAATGGACAAACTGCTGATGAAGATAGAGGAAAGCTCTGTTGCTTTCAAACCTATAAACTTTCTGATGGAAATAATTCATTTCTTCTCTTTTAGCAGCTTAACCAAATGTTTCTGCAGGTGTAGAATCTACTCTTATTGAATTTAGATATCTGAAGGTCATTTTTACAACAACAAAAGAGGCAGCTGGTAAAGTGTTTTGCTTTGGGATTCAGTTAGGTAGAAATTCCCAATAATGCTGCTAGTAAACTTTCCAGCCACAAATGTAAGTCACCAACAGTGTTTTTGTAAACTTCAAATGACAGCTGTGAGACATGCAGATAAATTTCAGGCACATGAACCAGGATATTTTCACAGGGTGAGTATATGCATATTTGATACCTTTACTAATAATTCTAAGTAAGTTTTCTGTCTTTTTGCAGCTACTAGCAAAATTTAATAAAGTCTTTTTTTCCCTGTGCTTAATTGGTTTCTTCCAAAAAGACTACTGTATTCCTTATTCAACTCTCTATATTGAGAGTTTAATATATGTTTTCCTGCTTTGCACTGGGTGTGATAAGATGGATAGGATGAAGATCTTTGCCCACTATGTCTAAGTGTCATTTTGTTTACACGTAAATTTAGATTTTCAACTGGCAAAATAATTACATCGGCATGAAAAATAATCAGTCTAATGTAAAATAATGATAGGTGATTTTGACAGCCAGTTTAATTTTTTATTTAACATCTATACCTTTTTTCTTTTTTGCCATTCATGGCAATATCATTTTATGAAGAAGACTGAAATATCTTTTTAAATTTTATTTTATTTAAAAAAATTTTTTAAGTAATCTTTATATCCAACGGAGGGCTCGAACTCACAACCCCGAGATCAAGAGTTGCATACTCTATTGACTGAGCCAGCCAGGTGGCCCAAGGCTGAATTTCTTTTGAGCTACCGTATCAATTACAAAAATATCCTTTATAAAATAATTCAGGTAATGTATTAAATAACGTTATATGAAACAAAAAGGGCTGTTTTCATTATTTCTTTCCTCCTCCGATAATTGTGGGAGACAAATTAGAATGGCGATATTTCAAACCAGTATTATTTTACAGCTAGTATTATTATGCTTATTTTACTGATGAAGGCATAAGAGACCTGAACCAAGGAGCTTTACTATAGAAATAATTATGTCTATAAACACTAATTGGATTTTTTTGGTGGGATGTATTTTTTAGTACAGAAGCCAGAAAGGGAAATAAAAACTCAACAGAAATAATTAAATGCCTATTCTGATGCTTGTGATGATAAAATACATTTTTAAGAAGGGAGGACAAAACAAGTTAATGTGTTATTTAAATAATGCCTTGCACCTGTGCTTGGTAATGTTGGGTGGTGATGATTTCCAAGAACTCTTTGGTGGGGCATTCACGGTCCTCTATAACCCCACCGCTCAGTTTTTGTTTTCACTCTCATTTGTCCTGTACATGTTGTTTGCTCTACGGGTCATGAATTTTCTAACCAGTTTCTAGTTCTCCAAACTATGTGAATCAACTCGTATTTCTATGAAGCAGTAACAAACATAAACCTGTCTGCTTCCAAAAATGTATGGCCAAAAGCTGAGGGAGGTAGAGGAAAGGGAAGGAAGAGAGGGAAGGAGGGAGGGGATGAGGAAGGAGGCAGAGGATGAAGGAGGAGGGTGGGGAGGAAGAGAGGGAGGGAGACAGGGAGGAAGACAGGGAGATGGAGGAGGGAACGAAGCAGAGGGAGAAAGTTAGGGAGGAAGGAAGGGAGGGAGAGAAGAGGGAGGGGGGAGAGAGGGAGGGAAAAAGAGAGGGAGGGAAGGAGACTGGGAGGAAGGAGGGAGGAGGGAAGGAGGGAAGGAAAAAGAAGGGAGGGGGAAGGATGGAGGGAAGGAGGGAAGAAGGGAAGAAGGGAAGGGGGGAGGGAGGGGCAATGAGAGTGATTATGTAAGGAAGAAAGTGCATCACTTGTCCCTTTGTCCCTTTACCTAGAGTATCTACTTGGGGCTTCAACAGAAGTGTTTCATCAATATTACAACTTAGCCTATACAAGACTGTCTCTAGTGTGGGCTTCCAGGATTCAGTCTGTCGCCGGTGAAGAATGGCACACAAATCTGTCATGCTGATGATGATTCACGGGGTAGCAGTCATGTCATCCAAGTTTCTCAAAGTGCCAGGAAAGAGTGATTTGTAAAAATTACTAGTCTTTTTTTTTTTCTTCTTAAAATAAGCATGTCAATTCACTGCTTAGCGGGATTTCTCTTGGGTTAATGCCATTAGGCTATACTAATAGATGAAATAATTTGCATTTCATAAATTTCACAATTGGAGGAACTGTAACCAAGCAGTACTTTCATGTGGAAGTACTCCTCTGAATCAATGGAGACAAACTGTAAAGGCTAAAATCGCCTTTAGGATTCTACCACCGTAACTATGACTACCATCACCGTCACTATTAATGGATAATACTTATCAAGTACTTGCCACGTATAAGGCACTATTCTAAGTGCTTTTCACATATTAACTCATTTCCACCCTTATGACGATTGTATAAGGTAGTACTATTGTCGTCCCCATGTTACAGGGAAAGAAACTGAGGCACAGAGAAGCATTTTAAATAGCTGATCGAATGCCATAGACCTAGGCCAACCCAAGACCTGAACCCAGGCTCCAGATTTCCTGCTCTTAACCACTCAGTTGCAAACAGGGCTTCAGGGAAGAAGGCAATCCGTGCGCGGACGGGATGAAGGATAGACAGCCCCCTTCCCTGAAGCCAAGGCTTACGCAGAATGTTTTTATTTACTCAACAGTGTTAACAAGACCTGTCCTTTTGCATTCTCCTTTCCTCCCCTCCCCTCCTCTCCCTCTTCTGTTTCTCCTCCTCCTCCACTTTCCCATACAGAAGGCATCCTCTCCTCCGTGTCTCACCATCACCTACCCTGCATCCTGCGTCGCCGCTCACCCCTTCCCAGCTTCCCTGCCTTCTCCAGAGCCATGACCACTGCCCCATCCCACCCTGGTTGCAGACATTCAGCTCTTCGCACCAACTCCTGTGCTGTCTCTTCAGCAAGCTCTGTCTAGTCCTCCTTTAAAATGGCCCTCGGATTTACCCTTTTCATATCTACAAACTCCAGAGGAATTCACGCTCTCAGCACTTCACACTCTGGGAAAGCTCTCAAACTTGCCTCCCAGCCATCAAATTCCAACTAGTCACCCTCTCTGACACAGAATCAATTGGGGAGTTCGCACATCCTGTTCTCATCACACTGGTGGGCACACATCGTCGTGACGAGTGGATTCTCCATTGTCTGAACCATCATCGCTAAGCTGCGTCCCTCAGAACTGGGCGCAACCCAACCTTTGCCTCCAAATACCTTTCCTTTCTTCTCCCGGGTAGAGAACACTATTCTCACAGTTGTATCTTTGTCAATGGTAGTTGTCGTAGCAGTAAAAATCGTAGGGGTGAAGGTGGCAGCTATATTTGGAATTTATTCTGGACTAAGCGTTGTACTAAGCACCTGATATACATTCATTCAAGCAGTTCCCAAGGCATCTCTGTAAAGAATGTCTTGATTAAATCCATTTAACAGATGGGTAAACTAAAACATACAGTAGTCTGCCTAAGTTTACACAGCTGTTAAGTAGTAGAGGTTGGATATGAACCCAAGCATCTGATCTCAGGGTCTATGCTCTCAAGTACTTTCTCATCCTGTTCCCTGAGTCAGAAAATACCTCCTCCCATCCCCACATTAACTGCCATCTTTAAAAGAAGGCAACGTATGTGAATCAAACTCTCCTTGAAAACTTCCAATGTGCATCAAGGCTGGAGCATTCCTCTGAACGCTGGTTGTATTTACATATTATTCCATGTAATATGCAATAAAAGATTAAACTGGGATGTGTTGGTTTCTAAGTATTTCATGTGTGTTCAATCTCATCTCCCCAATTAAACTGTCATCTTCTAGATTAGAACAGCACCTTTCCACACTGTGGGACTAATGTGGTCACGGAGTTAATTCATGGGATACAACCAGCATTAAAAAAAAAAAATAGAATATACTTGAAGAAAGTATCAGTGTGTACCACTTTGTAAAGCTTTGTTTCAGTTATGTGAGTGTACGTGTATGCATAGTAGGTCACAATGTAAAGCTATTTGAGGCTGTGGGTCACGGTCTGCCTTCGGCTTGGGTCATGATCCCAGGGTCCTGGGATCGAGCCCCGCATCCGGCTCCCTGCTCCACGGGAGGCCTGCTTCTCCCTCTCCCACTCCCCCTGCTTGTGTTCCCTCTCTCGCTGTGTCTCTCTCTGTCAAAAAAAAAAAAAATTGAAAGCAGAAATTTGAAAGCCGCTATCCTAGAGGGTAAGAATGATTCATATTCTTTATTCTTACGGGGCTCATCCATGCACAGAGCTGGCTGCTCAATAACGAACTGACTGAAAAAAAATTACTACCTGCCATTTTTATTACAATCATACTATCATAATTAAAAAAAAATCAGTGTCGGACCATTTTGCACAGCATAATATCTATATATGTATACTCTATTGTGATCCCATTTAGCCTTATGGTGGCAAATACTTTTTTAATTGAGGCTTCTCTGTTATGAGATAATGTGCATTTTTCAATCCCCAAGCTCTACGCAGGCCTTGAGAGTTAGGAAGACGGAGTATTCTGCACAAATGAAATATTATTCCTTACCATGCTACTACAGGAGAAATTTTAATGACAAATTGACCTAGCCTATTCCTTCTTACAAGGCTACGGAATTTCATTACTATTAACATTTATTTCTATAAATCATAACTTTAATAAAATCTATATTAAGTTTAATAAGTGTGTTTTTAAAATTAAAGCATCTTAATCTTTAGCTACAAATATTTTTTTTTTAAGATTTTTTTTTTATTTATTCATTTGAGACACAGAGATACAGAGAGAGAGAGAGAGCATGAGCAGGGAGAGAGGCAGAGGGAGAGGGAGAAGCAGGCTCCCTGCTGAGCAGGGAGCCCGATGCGGGGCTCGATCCCAGGACGCTGGGATCATGACCTGAGCTGAAGGCAGACGCTTAACCATCTGAGCCACCCAGGTGCCCCTAGCTACAAATATTAAGCATGCAATCGCCCTGCACTTATGCACCTTACCATTTGAGCAGTCTGGGCCAGTCCAGTTAGGGTCACAGGTGCAGGACCCGCTCTCCTGAAGATACGTTCCATGACCAGAACACTGGTCTGGACACATGGTCTTCACTAGTTCACAATTGGTACCACCCCACCCTGGACTGCAGTGACATTCCCCGTGGATGCAAACACCGTGATTGGAACATCCGGGGTCCAGACAGTCGGCTGGAGGGTAGAGAGAAAAGAGAACAATTTCACAATTAAATCTAGAAGATGTCACACATACACATTGCACGCAGGATAAAGAATTAAATCCCAGTCTAATATATATGAAAATTCTGGAGACTCAACTATTTACCTACTATTTTCAAGAACTTGTTTCTGGAAACGCAAAGAATCATACAACACAGCATTAAGGATCAAGCCATTCCGGTAATGGTGACTCTTGCAAGGATTTGGAATTTTCACGAATTGCAAACACACACAAGCTCCTGAGATTTCAGACTATTGCTCTCTGTTCTGCTTAATCAGACAGTAATAAGTATTGGCTTCTCTGTAACAAAATTGTATCAGCTGACCTAATCAATAACCCCCGAATCCTGACAGCTGTATGGGACTCTCAAACTGTTTGAGAAATAAATGAGTTGCATACTCTCTATCCTTCTTAATTCACTTTAATGTGCTTTAGATGACGAGATTTAATTTAGCAATTTGACTCAATAAAACTTTACACTTGTAGGGTCAATGGCCTGAAAATTTAATTCCAGAGACTTAATGGCATTACTTTCTGTGTACAGATCAATAAAATCAATTTGATTGAAGAACGGAAATGGTGTTTTTCTGCTTTTGGAAAAAACAATTCAACTGCACTTTACAGTATAGCATCTTGACTATCACACAGTTATGCAACAAGCCCACGGCGTACTTTTTTCCACTAGTATATTACGTGATATATAGTACCTCTTTCTAGAGATGCCAAAATGCTAGACTTACAAGCTGGCATCAATGTGAAAAACTGTAAAAAAAAAAAAACAACCCCAAAAAACAAAACAACAACAACAACAAAAAACCCCAAACAAAACAAACCCAAAAAAGCAAAGACAACAAAACAACAAAACGAAACAACAGTCCACTGTTAGTTTCGGGACACAAATGTTTGCTTCCTTCCTCAGAGTGGAAAAAAAAAAAAAAAAAAAGATTCACAGGACTGAAAGCCGAGGGGCTCTCTGGCATTTGTGTTTTTTATTAGTTAAAATGTTAACAAAATGAGGCATCTGTCTGAGCATAGAAATCAAAGTTACTTTCACGAGGAGGCACATGAAAAGATGCATCTGCCAAAGTGAAGATTAGAGAGATAATCTCTCTCTGAAGAGAAGCACAGACTTCTGCAGACACTGGCACAGTTTACCTTCTTCACAATTTTCTCCTTTGTATCCCGAGTTGCAAGCGCAAGAGCCCATGATGCAGATCCCACGCCCCCCGCACTGCGGGTCAATGCACTGCGTGGTGGGCACGTCGCACTCGGTGCCCTTCCAGCCGCTGAAGCAGAGACAGCGGCCCTTGGAGTACTGCCCATTGCCACTACACAACACGGGACAGGCTGCTGTGAAATAAAACACGACAGAGGGATTAACGGCCACGTTCTCAGGCGACAGCCCCAGAGCAAGGCGATGCGTCGCTGGAACAGGGAGTTTGCCGGTTTTCTCCCCCTTCCTTTCTTGTCTGGCTGGTTTTCGGCATTACTCGTGTTTCTACGGCTTATTTATACCGGCTTAAGAAAAGGCTCTAACTCGCATACCTCTGGAACAGTCCGGACCTAAAAATCCCGGAAAACAATGGCAAGTTCCAGAAACACACTCTCCATTTCCATGGCAATTTCGGGGGCATTCCACCACAGACTCTGAAGAAAAGAGAGAGAAGGAACACTTATGGTCTGGCCTGCTTCTCGCACAAGGTAAACTGGGTCACTTTGATCGTTTTAGCTCCGCACGGAAGGAGTGATGGATGGCCCGCTCCATCGCCAAAATTAAAAAAAAAAAGGATGCATTTGCACCAGATTATTCGAGTAGTAAAAAGCAAAGCACTGCCATCTCAAATGCGGATGTTTTAAAGTGTTTTCAAGATGCAGCGGCCTCCAAGATACTTGTAAAGAACAGGTTCTCCCAATGCTTCACGGTAGGTCACATATGCATAAATAAACGATTTAAAAATATGTCTCACGTTTTACCTCAGGCTTTATCACCCTCAGAATCACTCCAAATTGGTGAAGACAACCGAGCTTCCATTCAACACACTGTTTAGGCTGCAGCCCGGGAGAAAGATGCTTTTGAAGACCGTTCTTACCTATGACGATGGTATTAAAGGACACCTGCTCTGCATTTTTCCCGTCATTGTAAAAAGCCAGATGCCAGATTCCAGAATCCAAGTACTGGATAAAGCCAGCCTCGTGCAGACTGACGGATCTCGCCTGCCGCCCTGCTCTCTCGGGCTCCAGCAGGTTCCGCTGCTCTCTCGCAATCAACCTGCTGCCATCCAGGAGCTCGACAAAGTCATACTGGGGGAAGGATAAGTACAGATGTTTAGTGCTCAGCCACATTGCGGTTGTAGCTGCTTCTCCATTCATTCATTCATTCATTCATTCATTCATTCATTGTTCCAACGTCTCCCCTCTGCTCTGATACAAAGTCAGTTTCCAGGGTTAGAGCTAAGTCTTGCAACTGATAAAGAGTTTGATGAGTGCAAGGCCATGTGTGGATACAACCACGAGCCTGTAACATTTCAAACATGGCAACCTAAACCAGGAGATCATCTCTTCGGGTCATCTCCTACTTAATACCTGTGTGGTAACAACTATCACTGATAAGTACTCTGTGTCAGGATCATACTGAATCCTTGTGGCCACCCTTCTAGGATGGTGTTGATATTTCCACCATAAAGATGGAAGAAACCAACCCTTGAGGAGCTTGAGGAGGGTTCGATACCTCATAAGCGGTGGAGTTGGTTTGTGAGAAAGCTCAGGTCTTTACAACCACCCACCGTGCTCCTCCCTGTGACCCTGACATTACCATCCCAGGCACCATGAAGAAATCCATGGCTTTGTCCTCAGTTATGGTGAAACTAAAAACCGGTATCAAGATGCTGGTACATCTCTTATCGAAAGTCCAAAAAATTCAACAATGGATGGGTTCTGAAGGGATGACAGTAAGAGCAGCTATGCCCAGTTATTATTATGAAGTCAACGTCATTAAGCTTAAGTTTTGGTTTAGCAAGATTAATCATGAACATTGGGTAGCTAGAAGAACTGGAGCATTTAAAGATAATTAGATAATTAAAAATATGGAGGGTGACTGGTAAGAGTAAAGTTCTGTAACCAGAGATAACGCAGTGAGTTTGGAAGACACTGCAAAGACTTTCTAACATGGTTTTAATAAACTTGTTGGATAAAAGTTCCTTAAACTTTTGTTTGAGTTTTAAATCACTAAGTGATTCAGTTGCTTTAGACTCTTACCCAGTTTCACTTTATTCCTGAGGGTGAAAAATACACCACAGTGCAATATATATAATGTTACAGCACTATCTACGTGAATTACCAATATTCTACTTTCTGATAGATTTCTGAAATGGAATTTCATCAGAGCTCTGTTTGAAGAGAAGTTTATTATATGAATCCCTTAATACAACCAAACTGGAATAAAATCAGCCATTGGGATTCTGAGATTCATGATTAAATGTGTCGCCACTGTACTGATCAGACCTCTAACGTTACTACTGGACAGAATTTAGAATATCTAATTCAGTTTCCAACATATTAAAATTTTTATTTACATGTAAAAGCATTTTTTGTCATTTTTTTTTGTGTGTAGGAGAACTACCTCATGACATCACGCAGCTGTGAGAAATACACACAAAAAGCCATAAGTTGGTTAGCATTCAATAACTTTTTTTCACTTCTATCTTACAAGGATGAAAATAATCACTGGCGTGGATATTTAACCTGCAAATTTTTCACTGGAATTGTATTCCAAAATTATTGGAGGAAAATGAATGCAGCACTTTCTAAAGGTGCCTGTATCTCAAATAAGCCATTCGTTTTCTCATCAGATTTAAATATTTATATTAGCATGGCAAGGAGGCAGGGAAAAGTTTCTTTTTATGGCTCCTTTGCATATAAACATTTTTCTCCTCTGACATTAAACTCAGTAGCTGAAAGATTGAAAGGGAGGAAATTTTGAGTTTTAACTGGTCTTTCAAGCTCATACTCATAGTCACCACCTTCATTCGTAGGAATCACCATTTGCATCACACCCTGAACAATAAAATGAGGTTGGAGTTGCTGGGCATGGAGGGGGGTGGTGGTGGGCGGGAGGCCACAGTTGCTGAGAATCTGCCTAGGCTCTTCTGTAGGGGCATTTCACACATGCCTTCAGGAGGGTTATTCAAATACCTAGAGACAAGTCCTCTACTTAACACTAAGCCTATGTCTACAAAAAGTAAACAAATTATACGGAACAAAAACTTTTCATAACTGTTGTTCTCAGGGTGTAAAGTAAAAAGCAATCACTTACGAACAAACTTGGGCTACTGGCTTAACTCTGTAATACCTATTCATAAGATGGAGACATGGATTTTTTTTTTTTTTTTTGTGAGGGCAAGTCTTAGGATCTTATGCTATTTTTAGGATAACATTCAGTCTCACCACTTCGGGGAAGTGATCATGAAACAAGGTTAGACTTGATAAAGCTGTCCTACTGGTTCATTTCTGAGCAGTTAGATTATCCATATGCTCAACTTAATTCAGTTATTAAGAGGATGAGAACTAGGGCACCTGGGTGGCTCAGGTCATGATTTCAGGGTTCTGGAATCAGGCCCTGCATTGCGCTCCCTATTCAGTAGGGAGCCTACTTCTCCCTCTCCCTCTGCCCCCCACTCATGCTTGCTCTCTTTCTCTCTCAAATAAATAAATAAATAAAATCTTTTAAAAAAAGGATGAGAACTCAGAATCTATGAATACTTAACTGTATTTCCTTTTAAATATTGGAGAGAGAGAGAGAGAGTACAAGCAAGGGGAGGGGCAGAGCGAAAAGCAGACTCCCCACTGAGCAGGGAGCCCGATGAGGGACTCAATCCCAGGATCCTGAGATCATGACCTGAGCCGAAGGCAGATGCTTAACTGACTGAGCCACCCAGGTGTCCCATTAACTGTATTTCTAAATAAACTTTTTGGTGGTGGCATGGTCTTGCTGTAAATCATTGGCACATAGAGGAGGAAGAGATTTTAGGCATCATCTGATCCAACGATTTCATTTTCTGGACAAAAAGAGGTGCAGAGAAGTGAAGTGATTTTTCAAGGTCACAAGGTCAAAGAGTGGTAGGGGTGTATGCTTCCAGAACTCAGGTCTCCAGCTACCATTCTGAAACAGCCTTCATGCAAACGTACTTAAATGATACAGTGTTAAATTAAAATGTACTTAAATGAGAAGCATTAAATTGCTTCTTTAGGCTTCTAACTGTCCAGGAGAATGAACTGGGCATCAGGGAGAAGAAAGTCAATTGATTCCTTGGCAACAATCAAATGGACAGTTTTATAAAGGGTCACAAAGACTTTTAAAACTCAAGTGACTATTCTGAATGGCTGGCCAATTTTAATTATTTCAGGTTGATTTATTTAATGTTCCCCAGAAATAGAGAAATGTTCAATTTGGGCTGCTTTATAGCATATTTCATGTTTAAACACTGAACTCAGAAATAGTTGTTTGCTCTGCTGATCTTGAATAAACCAGAGGAAGGAACCCTAATAACTGTGGAGCTTCAGAAAACACGTAATCTGGTTAAACACATATATTGTGGTAGAAAGGAAAAGTGGATATTATGTATATTGTACTTAAATACCAGAAGAATTATGGGAAAACCCGAAACTGCACTTTTTATTTCCCTAATCTCATATGGTATATATAACTTGGAAAAGAGTCAACCCTAAATCTTTAAATAAATCTTTAAAGTACACAACAATTTTCTTTTGAAATTATTTTCTGGAATTTATAGGTTCTATGCTCACTGTTGTGCTTATTAGCTTTGGAGGTATATTTCTTCAGTTATGTATATGGTTCCAATGAAAAAATATTTTTTTTTTCTATTTCACCAGACTATTGATATAAATGCAATCTCTCTGCTTTCAGTGAAGTTAGAGATCCACTTCCACTTAAGTCAATCTGGTTATTATATCATACTCTGTGTCGTCACCTACAGCATAAACTGGTGTCAAACATAACTGTAATAAAAAATTTAAATTGGACACTAGTACACAATGGGGAGTATTTATTTATTTTTTTTAAAGATCTTTTAAATTTATTTGACAGGGAGGGGGAGAGAGAGAGAGAGAGCACAAGCAGGGGGCGTGGCAGGCAGAGGGAGAAGCAGGCTTCCCGCTGAGCAAGGAGCCTGATGCGGAACTCGATCCCAGGACCCTGGGATCATGCATGACCTGAGCAGAAGGCAGATGCTTAACCAACTGAGACATGCAGGTGCCCCCACAATGGGGAGTATTTAATATGCAAGGATCAAAGGCATTTACTTTAATAATGTAGATATGAAAAAATGTTATCAGAAAAATGAATGTACCAAAGCATGATATTCAAAAATTTCATAGCTATGTAATTTATATATGCATATGAAACTTTCCCTGATCTACAGTGACATAAGAGAAAGCATGTTCAAAGTTTCTTACTCCTCTTTCTCTGAAGATACGATTCTTTTATTGATATATGATCAATTTTTCTTCATAACTTATATTCCTAGGTTATAGAAAAAGAATTTCTCACGAAATTACATACTCTAAAGCATACATGAAAATCCTCCAGTCCTGATCTCATAAATCAAATTAAAATCTGCATGAAATTCTATGGGTACATAAACTGGTTATCAAGTATAACTTTAGGTTCATCCAACTGTCAATGTTAATTAACCATCTATTACATTTGTGGAATTCCTGTGTTGACTAACATAATAGTTGACCCTAGGAAAGTCTGAGCTCCAAATTTATAGTAGGTAATTTAAATAATTTCTCTTAGACATAATGGGACCTCTTTTATTTTTTTATTTTTGAGATTTTATTTATCTATTTTAGAGAGAGAGAGAAATAGAGAGCTGAAGCAGGGTGAGGGAGAGGCAGAGGGAGAGTGAGAAGCAGATTCCCTGCTAAGCAGGGAGCCTGATATGGGGCCCCATCCCAGGACCTTGAGATCATGACCCGAGTGGAAGGCAGATGCCCAACTGACTAAGCCACCCAGGCGCCCCCAAAATGGGACCTCTTTTAAACCACAATTTCCAACTTACATACCCTGATCCAGTATTAGATTATGAAAAAGCCTATAGAATTACTGAGAGCAGCTCTCTGTGACTGTTACTGTGACATAATTTTCATGCAAGCAGATTGACTTTAAAGTTCCTTGAATGCATGACTGAAGGGTATTTGAATTGTTTTGAGTACCCCACTTAGATGATCACTCTTGGTTATATATGAAAGTTCTCTTGCCTCTTTGAGGAATTGTGGCTTGAGTTGATAAAAGTTCATGTCATCCTCTTTATGTTTATGTTCTCATAATTTCTTTACTAACAGTAAGTCTGGCATTAAGTAGAAAAAATACAATATATTTTCAACTCCATGAATACAATGTTTGAGATGAAAATACTATGCATCTGTTACATGAAAGGAATAAGATCCTCTGAAATCCTCACAGAATCTTTGTAGAACACTTGGAAAATCCATGATGTTTTCCTAGGTGTTCAGATGATGTTCGACATTCACTTAGTTACTCACAAATTTTAGTACATTTTAATCCATCAATAACAATTAATGCAAGTCAGGAAGAAAATGCCGTTCTTCTACTAATTCGAAAACCTCAAGTGTAACCTACATTCAAAATTCTTTTCACTGTAAAAGATCAATACGAAAGTGGTCCAACAGTTAAACAGCTGAACTTAAGAAACAGAATAACTTTAAAAATGCAAACTAGCAGTTTCCATTTTATTGACAACAAAGCCTACTTTTACCTGAGTATGGGAAGGTGGTAAGCCTTTTCGTCCATATACTCCAATCAATGCATCCTTCTGAAGAGAGATATTGAATTTAAGAAACTGTGGCTGATCAATAAAAAGCTGTGATCTCCAGAAGATCCCAGGAGGAACCTCTTGAATTGCTCTTCGGCCAATATCAAGCTCTCCAGAATCTATAGTGTTATTTTCTTGTGTAAATCCACCTAATTTCCCTGAATGGAAGAGATCCATCGAAAAACAATGAAAAAGTAAAACAACAACAACAAACAATACCCCCCAAAAGCCTCAAACAACAAAACAGCTTTCCTTTCAAAAAGTTCTTTTCACTAAATGCTCAGGCATTCCATCTTCTGATAAATGAAATGCTCTCATATAATTTTCACTTTAAAAGTTTTTTTGTGAGCTACTATTGTGCAATGAATTCTGATTTAGCCTTTAAGATATTTAAGTAAAAATCCTTTGACTTCCCCCAAAGTATGCCTATTACTGAAACTCTTTTCACACCTACAGTCTTTCTTGATCACTTGAAACGCAATTATCTTACAAATATATGTCTTGTTATTTCTTGGGAGAGATTAAGTCTGTTACTAATCAGTCCTTCTAAACGTACCATAGCACTGCAAAGTGTAAATTAAGGCAGAATGGATTATGGAGATTGCTAAATCAATCTTTAAGCAAACAACAAAACCAATCAATGGCACAGATTCACGTAGTTCCCTCTGAACTCTACATTAGAATGAATAAGAACTCAGATGCTGGAAAGGAGGCAGAGAAGGGGGAGTGGGGACATTATGCTGGGGAGGGAAGGAGGAGTAAGTTCAAATTGTCACAAAGATATTCAAGTAGGCTGCCATAACCTTTTTCTTTTGACCCTGACCTCAAATTCACTCACAGCCTCACCAAGCATACCTGCATTACCCCTTTCAATGACCTTCAACCAAGGAACACAACCTCTCTCCTCCCTGAGTCTCTGCCACCTCCTGGTTTTAGGAAACAGATCCAAGACTCATATTTTTGGGTATGGTTTTCCCCTCCTTCACTCTTTGCTAAGGTTCTTTCTCAGCGGTCTGAAAGGGCACGTGATAGAGGAGGTTTTACAATTTGTGTTAAATAGAAATAAAACCACATTGTCTTTTATTCAGAAAAGGTCCAGGAAGGCTGAGGGACAGGATGAAACTGGAAAATTATCCTCTATCCATTCAAACTATTTAAAGTCACAAAGATGACTTACTACGATTTTTCTTTTAAAAAATATTAATCTGAATATTCATTCAAGTATTACATAATATTACATAATATCTATTACATAATAGCCTCCAGAGAAGTTGTCAACTCAGACTTGTGAACTAGCTTACTTTAATGATAGAAGGAGAGAATCTTCTATGAAAAGTTATTAGTTTAACACTGAGTCCATTTTTGAGCATTTGCCAGGGACATAGGACTACAGGTGATAGAAATATAAACCAAAGAACAGAATCTTAGAGATTATATGTGTATCTAACCTGGCTTCCATGGTTTCTGCCATCAAGCAACTAATTATGTGGTTGGGAAGACAACACCGTGAACCTAATGAACTAATGACAATCTAAAACCATATACAGTTAAATATAAAAACTCAGATGCTGAAGGAAGGTGATATCACTGTAGGCTGGTGGTTGAAAGATTTCACAGAAGTGTTAAAGTCTGAGGTAAACTTTGAAGGACAGGTAGGGTACAGTTTTTGAGTTGGAGTAAACATTCTGATTAAAAATATGGGAGCGTAGGGGTGCGTGGGTGGCTCAGTCAGTTAAGTGTCCGACTCTTGATTTCAGCTCAGGTCATGATCTCAGGGTGGTGAGATCAAGCCCCATGTCAGGCTCTGTGCTCAGCAGGGAGTCTGCTTGAGATTCCCTCTCTCTCTCTCCTTCTCCCTCTGCCCCTCCCCCCATCTCTCTCTCTCTCTCGCAAATAAATAAATCTTTAGGGGCACCTGAGTGGCTCAGTTGTTAAGCGTCTGCCTTCGGCTCAGGTCATGATCCCAGGGTCCTGGGATCGAGCCCCGCATTGGGCTCCCTGCTCCGCGGGGAGCCTGCTTCTCCCTCTCCCACTCCCCCTGCTTGTGATCCCTCTCTCGCTGTGTCTCTCTCTGTCAAATAAATAAAATCTTTAAAAAAAAAAATCTTTAAAAAAAACCATGGACGTGTAATCGGATATGTGTTACAGTGATGGTGAACAGAGAGATCCATTTGGCTAGAAAGGAAGTTAAGAAAACTGGTTTTGGAGTCAAACTGGGTTTGAATCCGGCTCTGTCAATAACTGGCTGTGGGCTCTTAAGGAAGATATTAAATATCTGGTTCTAAACCTCATCTGTAAAATGGGGGTGATAATAATGCAATCGCAGAACTATTGTAAGAATTACATAAAGCATTATACATAAAGCATTTGGCTGTCAGTATACACTGAGATGGTAACAGGTTTGTCATGGGAGTAACGGAAGATACAGCTAGAAAGGGAGAATGAGATCAGCTTGTGGAAGGCCCTGAATGCCAGCTTAAAGAGTTTGGTCTCCAAAGCGAACAGGCATTTCTCCAAAGGCATCCAGATGGCCAACAGACACATGAAAAGATGCTCAACATCACATATCATCAGGGATATGCAAATCAAAACTACAATGCCTCAAAGTTGTCAGACTGGCTAAAATCGACCATGCTAGAAACAACAGATGTTGGCGAGGATGTGGAGAAGAAGGTGCCCTTGTGCACTGTGGGTGGGAATGCAAACTGGTGTAGCCACTGTGGAAAACAGTATGGAGGTTCCTCAAAAAGTTAAAAATAAAACCATACTATGATCCAGTAATCACACTACTATTTACCCAAAGAATACAAAAACAGTAATTCAAAGGGATACATGCACCCCTACGTTCACTGCAGCCAAGTTATGGAAGCGGTCCCAGTGTCCATTGACAGATGAATGGATAAAGAAGATGTGGTAGATATACACAATGGAATTATTAATCAGCCATAAAAATAATGAAATCTTGCCATTTACAATGATGTGGATGGAGCTAGAGAGTATAATGCTAAGTGAAATAAGTCAGTCAGAGAAAGACAAATACCATATGATTTCACTCATATGTGAAATTTAAGAAACAAAACAAGTGAGTAGGGTTGAAAAAGAAAGAGAGAGAGGGAAACAAACCAAGAAACAGACTCTTAACTACAGAGAGCAAACTGATGGTTACCTGAGGGGAGGTGGGTAGGGGATGGGTGAAATAGGTGATGGGGATTAAGGGGGGGCACTTGTGATGAGCACAGGGTGATGTATGGAAGTGATGATTCACTATATTGTACTCCTTAAACTCATATTATGCTGTATGCTAGAATTGAAATAAAAACTTAAAAAATCGATACTTGAAGTTGACTTAATATGGGTAAATTGTACTTCAGTGCCATAAAAACACTTACTTTTCCTATGTTGTGTGGTGTATGCATGTGTGTGTGTGTGTGTGTGTGTGGGCACATGCACGCACACGTGTTTATAATCAGGAGAAACAGAATTCCAGATTACTAAGGTAAGTGTCCTGTGATCACAGATGAGTATGACAGATATCTAAGTTATGCCCACTGGGGTCTAGAATAATTCACAATAAATTCACGCTTATAGATAAATGTGAAGTTTGAGGGAGAGTGTATTACTCGTAAATGCTGGGGATTGCCTTCTACCTGGCCTACCATATCCTACAATGACAAGTGAACCTTTGGTTGCAAAGGAATTATAAGGTAAAGGAAGACCATCTGGCTAAAGGTGAAATGAAGTCATATTCAAGGAAATTAAAGGCATACAGTAGTCCTGTTTATCCCTGGTTTCACTTTCTGTTGTTTAAGTTACCTGCTGTCAACTGTGGTCGGAAGGCAGATGATCCTCCTTCTGACGTATCCTCAGAAGGCTAATAGGAGTCTCACACTGCATCACAATGCCTACATCGTTCACCTCACTTCATCTCTCCACAGAGGCATTTTACCCCACCCCATATTACCACAGAAAGAAGGGTGAGTAAGGAGAGTAAGATATTCTGAGAGAGAGAGACCACATTCGCATAACTTTTATTTTACTGTATTGTTGTAACTGTTCTTTTTTATGGTTAGTTATTGTTAACTTCTTATTGCACCTAATTTATAAATTAAACTTTATCATGGGTATGTACGCATAGGAAAAAACACAGTACATAGAAAGTTTGGTAGGATCCATGGTTTAGGCATCCACTGGGGGTCTTGGGACACATGCTCTTGCAGGTAAGGGGGTCTACCATAGTGAGAAGCCTGGAAGTAGAGACACAAGACAGGATATAGTTGCCATAACCCAGATATGAGGCAGGAGGGGGCTGTACAAGAACGCTTAACAAAAAGTCATTATTTCCAGTCCCACCTCCTCTTTTTCTCTTGATGTCCATAACCATGGCAGTGGTTAACACGTCAGCTACCGGGTCTGTTTTTCTTTAACTAATAATTTAGTAATATGATATGCTCTAGGGAATAAAAATTAAAAACTGGGTTATAGTAATCCTTGTAATTTTTTTATGTATCAGCTCATAGATTATAAACTACATCATTCACTGAAATATCAAATATTTATTTACGATAGTAATACATATTCATTCTAGCGAAATTAGAACATAGAGCTAAATACAAAGATAAAAAAATATAATCTGACCACCCAGAGATTATGTTCGTTTCCTCTCTAATCAGACATCATTCTTTATTCATAGAAAATTTTAAATACCTGAGGCCAAATTTTACTTTACATTTTGGATGTTTCTCTGCACTTAGCACCTACATATGTCATAAGTTAGCTTTTTTTTTTTTTAAAGATTTTATTTATTTGAGAGGGAGAGAGACAGCATGAGAGGGGAGAGGGTCAGAGGGAGAAGCAGGCTCCCCGCTGAGCCGGGAGCCTGATGTGGGGCTCGATCCCAGGACTCCGGGATCATGACCTGAGCCGAAGGCAGTCGCTTAACCAACTGAGCAACCCAGGCGCCCTTCCCCCCTTTTTTTGTTTTGGAGAGGGAGGAAGAAAGTGGGGAGAGAGAGAGAATCTTAAGCAGGCTCCACGCTCAGCACGGAGGACACGGGACTTGATCTCACAAACCTGAGATCATGACCTGAGCTGAAATCAAGAGTCAGTTGCTCAACCGACTGAGCCACCCAGGGGCCCCCATAAATTAGTTTTTAATGAA